TCTCGTTATCGTCACAGGCGATCTGAACGCTAGAACTGGCGCCGACAGAACCGGATGGGAACCTGTGATGGGCCGATTTGGCGTAGGAGAAATGAACAACAATGGCTTGCGGCTGCTTTCGTTTGCCACGTTCAATGATCTGGTCATCGGAAATAGCCTATACCAGCATGCACGAAAGCATCAGCTGACATGGAGAAATCCATCTGGTCACGATTCAGCAGTCCTGGACTATGTACTAATCAATTCTCGATACAGGTCATCGCTAAAGGATGTGCGTGCAATGAGAGGCCCGGATTGCGGATCAGATCACTACCTTCTACGAGCAGTCGTGCAGCTCCGCCTACAGTGTGCTAAGCGAGGTAAACGCCAACCGAAAGTAGACTGGGAGCAACTTTTGAAGCTGGAGGGTGAAGCAGGACTTTACACAAATTGCACTGTCAAATTCGTTTGGCTGCGGTTCACGGGTAAGTCGGGACGGTGGACGAGGACCCTAAGAACGGAGACTGCCAAAAGTCACTTACCGCCGAAGTGTGCCCCTCACAACTGGTGCGCCCAGTTCTTGTCTGCGCGACGGACTAACCATGGATCTCGGACGAAACATTGCAGTTGGTTGACAAAAGGAGGAAGGTGAAGCTGACGAATGGTACTACGTATCAGCTACTCAGTAAGGAGCTCCGCAAGGATCAAACAGAACGGGAGGCTACTGGACGCGTAGCGCTAGCGAGGCTCGAAGAATCCGGATCCACACGATGATCGCATGCCGGTATCAAATTCCTGGAGAGAGCGTGCCGGCAAAACCAGAGCCATGCGGAACCTTCATCAAAGACGCAAGTGGCAAACTCGTGAAGTCAGAGAGGGAACGCTTACAGAGATGGAGAGAGTTCTTCATAGAGCTGTACAGCCCCACGAACTGCCCCACTGACGTTTCCAGAGCCAGTCACGATTAGAGAGCCACCCCAGAACCAACACCGAGGCCGGCGCAAGTATGGAGGAAGGTGACGGGGCGCCGGCGTGATGTCGCTGAAGAACAGGAAAGCGGCTGGTGTAGACAATGTCACAGCAGAAGCGATTAAGGCAGGAGGAGAAGTATTGGTACAACGGCTCCACCGTCTTATGTGTCGCGTCTGGCAGACGGAGGCTGTTCCTACGACGTGGAAACGCTCCATCATCGTGCCAATACACAAGAAAGGCGACATAACGGAATGCAAGAACTATCGCGGCATATCACTCCTGTCAGTCGTCGGGAAGGTTTTCACAAAGATCATCAACGCAAGACTTCAGCTTCACCGAAGAAGCTTATGCCGACCGGAGCAAGCGGGTTTTTGCCCTGGCCGTGGGTGCAGTGACCGCATCCTTCGCGCTAGCTGGCAACTACTGGAAGAACGTATTCGTTGCGGCAAAAGGGTTGTGGTTGTTTTCATAGATTTCAGAGCTGCATTCGATAGCGTCCACTGGCCAGCGCTATGGAAAGCCCTAGAGTGTGAACACGTTCCGGACAAAATTGTGAGGCTGTTGCGGAGATGCCGCGTGTCAATGGAACTGTCACCTGTATCCGCCCGTCAAGGATGACGGTCTCTGAGATTCCTGTAAGATGCTGGTGGTGTCGTCAGGCCGCCCCGTGAGACATACGTGGTCTTCGCCCTACGTTGGCTTCAAACGTGGGTAATGGGGCTGTTCATGAGGAAAACTTTCAACGAAAGGCGAAGAGCGTGCAGTGACGTGTGAGCGGCTTCTCACAATGACCCTTAGTTCCATACCCAATTGGTTTGCGAAACTGGACGATGGGAAGGCCGACTAACATCATGTCTCACTGGCTCAGAGCATTTGCCCAGCTCGATGGCCTGCAAATAAACGCGGAAAAGACCAAGGTGATGACCTCGGATGGATCGCCCGCGTCCGTGCGACTGGGTAGCGTCGCCTTGGAGCAAGTGAGTAATTTCAAGTACCTTGGATCGGTCGTTCAAGAAAGGAAAGTGGCTGCCGAGGCTGAGGTCCGCAGCAGGATTGGTCACGCGTCTAAGACATTTGCAGCCGTTTAAAGTCGGACCCGCGCTCCTTCTCTGGAAGAAGAGTAACATATCACTGAAAACCAAAATTCGCATGTTCCGGACGCTGGTGCTCCCGGTGCTACTATATGGGTCTGAGACATGGACGTTGCTCAAGTCGGATCTCTCTCATCTCGAGGTGTTTCAAATGCGTTGTCTCCGCCATATGCTCGGGATCAGGCTTCGTGACCATGTCACGAACAACGCCATCAGGGAGAAGTTTGAAGATCAACCCACAATCGAGGAACAATTGAAACTGCGACGGCTACGATGGTTCGGTCATCTGTGCAGGATGGGTCACGACAGAATACCTAATATGCTCCTGTGGAGAAAACGCCCTGCGCAGTGGAAAGTTCAGAGGACGGCTCCAAAAAAGACTTGGTTGAAGCAAGTTGAGGAAGACCTTAGGGCTCGAGGTGCATCTCCACCACCTGTAATGGCCGCTAGTGTTTGGGAACTATTGCTGAGCGTATTGCTGCTAATCGACCAGAATGGAGACACTTCATTCAGGGCGTTCGTACTCCAATGGCACCCACAGCAGTGTACTGGTTGAGAGGCCGGCCCCCCCACACCAGATCGCATAGCTAATGGGATAGTAAGTATGCATGTAACCAGTCGGATCGCACGGCTCACGTGCCCGTGCTCTACCTCTTCCTCTCGAGCTCGGCTTGCCGAGCTGCCTGGCCTGGCTTCGCCAGGCGGGTCCATAATTTTAACGAAATTTTTTCGGTAGTGGGCTGCTCATAAGGCGCTGTAGTGATCGAATCGTAACAGACAGAGCAAGGCTTAGGATCCCGCACAACTCAGCACGCGCTTCTATTTACAGCGGCGGTGTAGTCCGCGCCATGACGCCATTAGAATACATAAATCTGTAGATAGATACAATATGTAGTCGGCCAATACAGCGCAATATGAATGGCAATATGAATAGCTTGGAGGTACAATGCCCGTCGTAATTGTTAGAAAAAAACCAGAGGTCCCCTTTTTTGTTTTTTTGCTATAACTCTTCTCATATAGAACCCTATACTGTTAGACTCAGCTCGTCGAGTTCTATAAGCTGGCATCCTAAAAAACTGAAAAGTCGAAAATTGAACTCTGCTTCCTATCGAAGTACCTGAGGACACTCGTTAGCGAGCGAGTCTCGCTATAATTGTAACCAGAGGGTAATCGTTGGGAATAAATCATTCAGGAATCAAATAACGTACTGTATCGCATAAGAAGTGATTAAAAATGAGATAGTTGTGTTTCCCAAATGATCCTGATCATTAGGATGCCCATTTTCCTTAAAATGGAGGGATTTCGCTCGATGTCATTTTCGGACGATATAGCCCTTTCAGTTCGAAGAATCCGAGCATCAATCAGTTTGGAGCACACGAGCACAACGGGTCAATGTATGGAACCCTGTTTTTACCAATATCCGCTAGATTCAAGAATGAAGTCAAGAAGAAGCGTTTTTTAGTTACTTGAAATGGGCACTTTGTGCGATACTAGGGTAAATACTCGATTTTCAGCGTTTTTAAACAGGATTTCTAGCTCTCTGAGTGGCCCCATAAGTTCCTTAACAAAACAGAACGTCTTACGCTGTCCAACAATTTGGTGGGAAACAGTTGCATATTGAAGACTGGTTGTTGTTGTCGGCTGCCAACTTCAAGACTTCTTTCAGAGCCAAGTTCACGTGTTTTTCATAATAAGAAAATCCCAGTCAAAGTCACACCATTCGAATCCCCGTGAAAAATGCTACCTATCCATATCAAAATTGCCTCATGGAGCTTTCTATGACTTTTCGCAGTTTTCCTCGGCTTTCAGCGATCAATCGACCTCCTAAGGAGTTATCCCACCGAGGTGTCAGGGCATACAGGGGGGGGGGGCAAAAAAAAGTCACTTTTCTTCATTGACTTTCGAGGCGCTATAAGTTACACTTTATCAAATTCTGATCGGACATTTCCACCACCATATTAAAGAGCATATCAAATACTATCATGACACTCCGCCACAGCCTTCTGGACGAGCGCCATCGAGAGATTCTGGCACGCGACCGCGATGTGATGCCTGAGATCAGCGAGATAGTCGGGGTTCCCGTCACCGTAGACCAATCCTATGTTAATCACCGCCCAAACCGGGTAATTGGGGGGATTCAGGTCAGGTGACCTACTTGGATATTCCACCGTCTTTAGGTATTCAGCCCCCTTCCATTCCAAGTGGGCGAGAGTTTTTCCAATGCCCTTCGATTCCATGTAGTGGCACCCAATGCTGTGGCGCACAAAGTTCTAAGACTATGTGGGGCGCAACATGTGGAGGAGGATATCCTTCTCGAAGCTGCCTGCATGTAAACCGCCGCGCTCACCTTCAGTCCGGGTCCACGAAGAAAATATCGGTCTTTTCATTTCAGGTACGTCCGGTCCATACCATCAACCCGCGCCTTGGCGACTGCGGTGAAGATGTTGTCCCTAGGACCGTGCGACCGTCCGCTTGTCGGAGCTGCTCGATGTTGGAGGTCTTCCAGATCGAGAGTACTGGTCTCCAGGTAGCTATCCATGGGTGACTCCATACTAGAAGTTTCGCAGCTGTTTGGAGGTGACGTGAATTCCAAAGGTCTTCTCCAGTCAGGCTGCGACTGGAGATGACTTCACACGGCACAGCATTGGTTGGGGATTCCCTATGGGGGGGGGTCGTATTTAGCCTCCAAAA